GTACTCGGGCCTCAGCTTACCATGCTTCAGCTCCAGGTAACACTGAACATTGTTGGGTAATAGACTCAGGTGCATTTGACCATATGACTAGCTTGCCATCACTGTTCGCTACTTATCACTTATCTTCTGGTAGAGATAAAGTATCCATTGCTAATGGCTCCCTTGTTCCCATTTCTGACAAGGGTGACATCAAGTTATCTGATACTATCTCCTTATCCTTAGTCTTGCATGTTCCTAAACTTGATACTAATTTGTTTTCAGTTAGTAGTATTACAAAACATCAGAACTGTTCAGTAACCTTTTTCCCTGATTGATGTGTTTTTCAGGACTTGGAGACGAGGAAGGTGATTGGGACTGGCTGTGAGACAAATGGAATCTATCTGCTTGGAGAGAGTTCTCATTGGAAAGAGCCTGTGGATAAGAAGTCTTTTGTCTCTCAGTCTGTGAGTCCAATTATGCTCTGGCATAATCGATTAGGTCATTTATCTTTTCGGTCTTTGAAGAGTCTGTTTCCTACTTTRTTTKAGTCWGTTGAGATGTCAAATTTGAGATGTGAGAGTTGTGAGCTTGCCAAACATTGTAGAACATCTTATTTCTCGAGTAATAAAAGAAGTAGTAATTCTTTTGATATTGTGCACACCGATGTTTGGGGCCCGTATCACATCCCTTCTATGGGGGGGTATAGATATTTTCTATTGTTTGTTGATGACTATACCCGTTTTTCTTGGGTCTACCTTATGCGTTTTCGGTATGAGGTTCCCGCTCTAACCCAAAACTTTCATCAGATGATTTTAACCCAGTTTGGGGTCAAAATCAAAATCCTCAGATCTGATAATGCAAAAGAATACTTTGCCAAGTCACTGGCCTCTTATCTACTCGATCATGGGGTTATTCACTAGAGCACTTGTCCTCATACACCACAGCAGAATGGGGTTGTTGAGAGGAAGAATAGGTACATTTTGGAGGTGGCTAGAAGCATTATGTTTACCTCCAATGTGCCTATCCGTTTATGGGGTGATGCTATCCTCACGACAATGTATCTCATTAATCGGGTTCCTTCACGGGTTCTTGACATGAAGCCTTCATTTACCCTTCTATACCCAGATGAGGAGTTGTTTACTGTTCCTCTTAAAACCTTTGGTTGCACTTGCTTTGTTTAGATTCTTGGACCTCATTATTCCAAATTTGACCCTAAGGCCTCCAAATGCATTTTTCTCGGTTATACACAATCTCAAAAGGGTTATTGCTGCTATGATCCTATTTTGGGGAGGAGATTTGTTTCGATGGATGTCACCTTCTTTGAGGAGGTACCCTATTATCCTAGGGCTTCTCCTCAGGGGGAGAGTAGTGAGAATTTGGGTCTTTTTCTTAGGGGGAGCGCAGTGGGAGTGGGGTTAACTCATTTGAGGTTCCTTTACCCATTCCATTGAGTGATGAGGGTTGTCAGAGGGATCAGGAGTTGAAAGTCTATCACAGGCGACGGAGGCTGGTTGATTTCGGTCATCAGTAGTTCAGGCCAGCCCCAGTTCCTTCTACGGATCCAGATCCAGGTACTACAGTCCCCTTATTAGGTCCAGGACCCACTGAGATACCTTCCATTGTTGCTACTTCCCTTCCTTCGGATGATCTTGACCTCCCTATTGCGGTCCATAAAGGGAAACGGCGTTGCACCACATCCACAACTCACTGCATTTCCCAATTTCTATCCTATGATTGTCTGTCTCCTAATTATAGGTACTTTCTTACTTCCATTGCTGATATTCCTATCCCCAAAACAGTGCAAGAAGCTTTGCCAGTTCCTAAGTGGAAAGATGCAATGAAAGTTGAAATGGATGCCCTTTTGAAAAATAATACTTGGGAGCTAGTTGACCTACCCAAAGGAAAGAAACCGGTTGGATGTAGATGGGTATTTACTGTGAAACATAATGCTGATGGCTCCATTGAAAGGTACAAAGCCCGGTTTGTTGCAAAAGGATTTACTCAGACTTATGGTATAGACTACTTGGAGACTTTTGCCCCAGTAGCCAAGATGACCACTATTCGAGTTCTATTAGCCCTTGCAGCAAGTTACTCTTGGCCCTTGTATCAGATGGATGTTAAAAATGCCTTTCTGAATGGAGACTTACAGGAAGAAGTCTACATGCAGTTGCCCCCTGGATTTTATGATGTAGAGACAGGTAAGAAGGTTTTCCAACTGAATAAGGCATTGTATGGACTAAAGTAGTCCCCTAGAGCTTGGTTTGATAGATTCAGACTAGCCCTTGGAAAATTCGGCTATGTACAGGCCCAGTCAGATCATACATTGTTCGTTAAAAGAGTGAACTCTTCCTTGACCTTGCTTGCTGTATATGTGGATGATATTGTAGTGACAGGGAATAATAATAGTGAGATTGAGTCCCTCAAACAGCTCCATCAAGAGTTTGAGGTGAAAGATCTTGGTGCACTGCGATATTTTTTGGGTATTGAGGTTTCTAGATCTAAACAGGGGATCTTTATTTCTCAAAGGAAGTATGTTCTTGATCTGTTGGCGGAAACTGGAAAGTTAGGTGTCAAGCCTGTAGATACACCCATTGAACAGAATCACAAGATCAGTGCAGAGGATGGAGAGCCTCTTGAAGACAAAGCTATGTTCCAACGGTTGGTTGGAAAGCTCCTATATCTCTGTCTCACACGGCCAGACATCAGTTATGCAAGTCAGTGTTGTCAGTCAGTACATGCATTCCCCTAGAACTATTCATCTTCTTGCAGTTGAGAGAATATTAGCATACTTGAAGAGATGTCCAGGTAGAGGTATACTGTTCAAGAATAATAATCACATGAAGGTGGAGGTCTATACAGATGCTGATTGGGCTGGGAGTGCTGATGACAGGAGGT